CTTCCCCCTGGGACTCAGGGGATACCCATTCTCCAAGCCCTAAGCTGCCTTGTGAGAAATCCAATTACCCTGAAACCACCACACTGAAGAAGCCACATATAGGTACTCTTGTTGACAATCCCAGGTAAGCCCTGACCCTCAGCCATCTCAGGTTGGACACCAGACAGGTGAGTGAACAAGCCATCTTGAGCTGTCCCAACTCTGCCATTGAGTGACCCCTACCTATTTGAGTCATTCTAGCTAAGGTCCCAAATAAAAAGAAGAGAAAAGCTGTCTTTCTATACTGTTCTGGATTCTTGATCCTCAGAATCTGTGAACATAATAAAATGGCTTTTTTTACTCTACTCAGTTTGTGGTAGTTTGTTACAAACAATCACCAGCCAGAAGAATCATTATTAGTAATTTACATATCCATGTATTTAACATTTATCATAAGGGCCTAATGAAGAGCTTTCTTTCAGGTTGGATGAATTTCTCTGATTCCTTCTGGAGATCAGGCTTCACTCAAAGTTGGGTTGTCGAGGCACTGGGCAAGATGCTAAGTATACTAGGATGCTGAGCATGAATAATCAGCAGGCAGTACAGAGGATGGAGGAAGAATAAGAACAAGAGAAGACAGAGGGGAAAAAATGACTTCAGATATTGTTTTATCAATCCAGTCTGACAGCATAAATTGGTATCTGGCCTTGAAAGGCAGAGGCAACAGTAATCATTTATGGGCAGCAAAAATAGATGGTTAATCAATTTAGTGTATTTGTCATAATGGCTAAGGACTGGGTTTGAGTTTTAATGTAGCATAATTTTATGAAGTAAAATAGAAAACACTTGCTATTTTACTGCCTTTTTAGAAATACATCAGTAGTCAGATATAGTGAAAGATACCTGGAATATAATACAATACAGAGACATAATTACTTCTCAACAGCTTTAGAAGCCTCTGTAGGGAATGTCTGTGAAAGGCATTTCTGAAAATGTGGGCCAAAGGAAGGGAGATGGGAAAAGCCTTAAAATTATAAAACTAATCTTCCAAAATGGCATGGATATTGACCTCATCCAAAACGGAAAGATGTAGAAATTATCTTTTATTGGAAAATCTTTATGTAAGCGTTCAATGTTCTTTATATATCATGATCCTTTCATTTTTAAATTAAAGGTATTAGATACAATTGTTTTACAGTTGTTTGTTTTATAATCTGAGTGATCATTAAATAACCATGCTCTTTAAATGTTAGCTATTTAGCTTCAACATACTCTCTCCCTTCCCTTTGCTCATCAGAACTTCTTGAAAACAATTTATACTGTGTTTCGTGCCCCTGCTTCCTGTTTCAGGGATCTCACTTTTCCCTTTTCCAGCCTTTTTGTTGTTTTGTTGGATAGATAGTAAACAAATCTTTCAAAGAGGATTGTTTATGAATGGTAAAATTTTCTAAGTCTTGCATATCTCAAAGTGTCCTTGGTTTACCTGAACTCTTAATTGATAGTTTGGCTGGACATTTAATTTAAGTTTTCAAGTCACATTTTTCTTAGACCTCTGTCTTGAAGCATACAATGTCTCTGATGAGAAGCTAGAATCCCATTTGTTAGAGGCAATAGTGGAGGCTTTCAGGGTCTTCTCTTAGCTTTCACAAATCTGTCTAGATATGGCCTTTCTTCTTCATTTGATTGCTTTTCACTCTGTGTGCCCTTTCAAGTTGATAATGTATGTGTTTCTGTCTAAAAAAATAAATTTTCTTCTATTATTTCTCTGGAAGTTTCTTTAATTTTACTCTCTATTCTTTCTGAAACTGTTTTTGAAAGATTATAGCTCTCCTGGATGGCTCTTCTAAGACCTTACAGTTTCTCCTGAATGTTCCTTGTTTCCTTTTTGCCTGATTTCTGGGAGATTTCCTCAGGTTTTTATTCCAAAACTTCTTTTTAATTTTTCTCAATTTCAGACATTGTATTTTTAAATTTCCAGTAAGTCTTTATTGTTCTTTGGGATCTATGAAGATATAGGTAAAATTATATGCCATGTCCAGAATTATTTGTTTCTTTCAGGGTTGATTCATTGGTTCACATTGGCACTGTGGAGGTGTGTGAGAATATTTTTCCGATTTGATTATATTTCCTGTTTTTAATATTATATTTGTTTATTTTAAATAGTGAACTGAAGGCTAGTTTACTTGGTACACTTTTCTATCCTGAGTTCCCTCTCATTCCTTCCCCCACCAGCCTCCCTTCAATGAGAGGTACAAATCGTGAGCTCTGAGCTCATGGACAACTTTCCTTTAAATCGTGTGAGTAGAGAGCAGGGATCAGGCTAGGCCCACACTAACTGGGTTTTATTATGGGAATCCCAAGCTTATTTTTTTGGCAAGCAGTACAAGAAGTGCTAACTTGCCCAGCTGTTCAGAGAACAAACACTGTAGCTCAGGGAAGAGGGGGTTCTCTGCCAGGCACAAGTTCTTTATGAATTTGGTGAGACTGAAGGAAGACAGGGGCAAGAAGTTAGGAGAGAAAGAGTTTATTCTTACAGCTCAGTTTCTTCTTGCTCACAACCCAAGTTGCTCAGCTCTCCCTTCCTCCTTGCACCTGGCCATGCTAGTGCACCAGGAGGAACTCTGTGGGTGGGTCCCCGGTGACTGGCAGGTGTCTGACCAATTACAGACCAGGAATGGAGGGGAGGAGAGAGTGGCTGCTTCCTCTCCACCCCTACGCTGGACTGGCAATCCCTTGACTGACTAGTGGCTCTGTTGCTGGTATACATCCCATAAATATGCAAACATGCTCTTATTATATACATAGTGGATGTTAGTAAGGCCAGGTGGGAATACTGGTCAGAACGTTCCATTTTCCCCACAAACATCAACCCTGGTCTCTGAACACCACTTGCTTCTTACACTGGACCTTTTATCTCCAGTTTGGGAGCATTTCAGAGGCATGATGGTTAGGGATAAGGTTTCTATCTTCACAGCAACCCTTGTGTGTGCACATGTGGGCTGTGCTCCTGCTACTGTATTTCTTACTATATCACATATTTTCCATCTTCCAGAAATTCATCAAGGTTAATAGTTTGTGTATACCTTTTCCTGATTTGTGAACTGCCATAAATGTGTCACTCTTGGTACTTTTACACTTTATTGCAGTGGGATTTGTGAAAGGAGACGAGATGTATGCATATTCAACTTGTTACCTTGAACCAGAAGCTTCACTTTCTCAATCTCAAAGCCCTCTCCCCTAGCCTACTCTCTGCCACTTCTTTGATACTTATCTGTCCCACTTGTGCTGACTTTTTTCCTTTTACCTTTTCCTGAATGTTGGTGTTCCATGCTTGTCTGTCCCTCTTTTTGCCCTATTTATTCTGTATGGATGACTTTCACTCACTCCCAGAGATTTAACTCTCACTTTAAGCCAGTGAACCCATTAATGACCAGCTCTCATTTCTTTTCTGAGCTCCAGCTTTGTATCCTCTACAGACTATTATATATTTGACATATTAAATTTTTCTTCCTGTAGGGAAAATGGAAGATTCATGGCCAGGATCCTCACCTAACCCTGGTCTGCTTGCCCACTGTGCTCATGAATGCTCACAGGAGAATGCTTGCACACGTGTGGGAAATGGACTATTACTGACTTTGTTTAAAGGGTACTCTGGGCTGCAAGGCCTATGAAATGCCCAGAGGCAAAGACTGGCTTGTTGCATGCAGACTTCCCCAGAGGCAAACATGATTCTAGCACTCTACCTGCTAGCATGAGTATGGATAAAATGAGAGTTCCTATGGCCAGGATTCTCTCCTGGCCCTGGTTGATTAGCTCACTGCACACCTGTGGGTAATACATGGCTGTTGACTCTATAAAAAGAGCTCTACCCAGTGCTCTGGGCATGACACGGTGGCAGAGCTACAAAGCTGCAGGAGAGCAGAGCAGAGGCTGGAGTGGTGGCAGCGCTGAGGACAGAGGCCCAGAGGACAGCTGTGTGGGACAACTTTGCAGAGAGGCACGGAGGATGGCTGTGCAGGACGACTGTGCAGAGAGGCCTGGAGGACAGCTATGAGTGATGGCTGTGCAGGCAGAGAGGCCCAGAGGATGGCTGTAAGGGATGGCTGTGTAGGCAGAGAGGCCCAGAGGACAGCTGTGTAGGATGACTGTTCAGAGAGGCCCAGAGGACAGCTGTGTGAGACAAATGTGCAGAGAGGCCTGGAGGATGGCTGTGCGGGACAAATGTGCAGAGAGGCCCAGAGGATGGCTGTGCGGGACAGCTGTGCAGACAGAGGGGCCCAGAGGACGGCGAGACTGGCTTGCTGCATGCAGACTCACTCTGAGTGAATGGGATTTTAGTGACTGAACTGCCACCTGGAAATAAAGTTGGGTATAACCCTTTCACCCCAAGAACATTTTGCTATCATTTTCTTTGATCACACTGAATCCATAGCAAACTTGCCTGGGACTGGAACCCACTGGCAAGACAATGAGAAAAAAGTTTTGCCTAAGACCTTTTACCCCAAAAACGTGCCATTGCCATTTTTCGGTCTCACCAAATCCAGAATGAATTTGCCAGGGCCTGAAACCCTCAGGCGAGATACTACCCAATGTCAGGAAAAGATAGATACTCAGTAATTTTTATCAACTAATTAATTAATTAACAAATGCTTAAAGGATCTAGAACTGGCTTTAAGGTAATCTTTCTACTATACCATATTATTTCCTAAGTGTAAAAAATAATTAATGAATATTAAATGAATAATTAATGAATTTTTCATTCACCTTACCCAGTGCCTCCTCTTTACCAAATTTTATATGTAATTTATTTTCTAATAACAATGTATTCAAACTTCATTTATCTCACCTCCCTAAAGAGTGGCAACTAAAAAACTTGACAGGAACCAAGAACCACACCAATTTCCAGTTTCTAGTTACAATATAACACTATAATTCTATTTCTAATTTCAGTTACTATAATCAAACATCTGTTATATCAAGTTTTTCAAGCTAAAACACTCAAAGCAGAAGTTTTCACTTACCTAGTTGGCTACCAAATGCAAGTGCAGATTCAATCCATCTGTCCCTAAGTGGATATGCTTACCTCTGCCAGTCTGCCCTTTGTTTTGGCTTTAAATTACTCATTTTAAGCCTGATTTCCTATGGAAGAAAAGCTAATAACAGTCACTCTTCTAGTCTGAGCATTTCAACTGCAATAACTTTTGATACTGAACATAGATTCTGTCCAATTCTTCCAGAATGAGGGAAAGCTTAAAATTAGCCAAGGTCCCCCAACACTATGGATTCTTTCAATGTTTAAAAAACAAAACAAAACAAGGTTCTTTGTCTACACAGTGCCATTATCCATCCCCTAATGAAACGGTGTTTGTTCCATACACAGTGATAGCTCTTATTCTAGCTCTAATCATGAATTGGTCCAGCCAATCTGCCCCCACATTCAAGGCTTCCAACAATGATTACTCACATATTCTTCCAGTGAAACCATAAAACCTTTCTTAAATTTGAGAACTGTAGACAAATGGTTTTTACACATATTTGGAGTCATATGTCAACTTTTCTCTGGATATTGCAAAAAAGAAAAAACATCATATGACTAATAATAATAATAATAACATCTAACACATGTTGAGGGCTCAGTACTACTCTAAACTCATTATATAGAATATTTCATTCAACTTTTTGCAATAACTTTTGGGGTAGGTTTTATTATTATCCCATAGAGAACTGAGGCTTAGAAAAGTTAGTCTTGCCCAAGTCATTTCCCCAGACCATAAATATAGAACTGGGACCTGAACCTAGGCAATCTGATATCAGAGCACACATTTTTAACCACTAGGCAAGGATATCAAACAGATTTCACCTTGTATGTCAATGTTGACTGATTGGTAGTTACTACATAGAACATACATAGAACTACATAGAACAGGGTGTTAAAAAAACTTGGTCACCAAACAGTGTGAGTCAGTATCAAAACTGAGCAATAATGTCAACCATGAGCACATTGGAGTTGTGAATCATTATACTAGGTACTTACTATTCACTTTCTTTAGGAGGGCAAGAAAGTGAAAGACAGAGTTAGAGACAGAGATATCATTGACCTGTGTATAAACAAGTCTCAGAAAAGGCATAGATAAATTAGATTAGATAAATTTATAGAATGTACCAAACTCTGCCAGTAATGTGTCTTTCTCCATGCTAAGCTTATAATAAAAAACTACTTATGATCTGAATTTTTGTTCTACTTTGTCTTCTTTCTCCCACACATTGATGGAGTATTTTTTCTAAATGAAGGAAGTAGTATGAGAAGGAAAAAAGACAAGATGCTTAGAAAACCATCACTTGGATGACTGAATCAACAATGTTCAATTCCAAGGAAACTTTAGAAAAATAGAGAACTTAATTTTCTTTCAGAAGGCTCAGATAGAAGAAACTTATGTAGACAATTAAAACCTAAATAGACTGAGATCATACTTATGTGATAGTCACTCATGTTCCTTTTTTCTCCTGGTATTTCTTGCTTTCCTTTCCCCCAATTTGAACAAGTTATATGACCCATGTTCCTTGACTGAGGGTTTAAGGCAAGTTTCCTAATTTTTGTTGAAGAGATTTTTAAAAGTGAAGATAATCTGAACTCCATCTAGACTAGAAAAATACTTTCCAGCATGGTAGATAGAGAAAGATAGAAGAGAGGTCTAATTAGAACAAAACTTCCCTGGATCACAGGAAGAGGGTACTATGCCCTGCATCCCAGAGAAGATCCCAAGGGAGATCTGAGCTATTTTTATGGGTCACCAAAACAAAAGGTACCTGGTTCCCAGGAAAAGCCTCAGGAACCACAATTGTATATGCTTGCTCTAAGGGTTGTTTATACATACATATGTCAATAATTAGTCTCACTCTTTCAATTTCTCTAAGTAAACAAGTACCTAGAAAGGGAAAGGTTCTGTAACATCTCTAGTTTAAGAGGCCATGGACAGCTTCACAAAGTTGCCTATGTCTCAACATGGCAGAGAGAAAGCAGAGATGTTTCCTGCTTCTATGAATGCCACAGAAGCAGAAAAAAGAGCCCACATGGCCAAAGAGGTATGCCTAGGCTGCTAAGGACATCTCAGCAGCAAAGCACATGAAGTGACAACCTGGACCAAATCGGAGAGTGGGTATCTCATTCTGCTATCTTCATGGAAAAATGTCCCAGAGACGACATGGATCCCCTCTTCCAGTGCCTTGGCACTGTATATCTTCTCCAAAATCCTAGATATATTCTTAGATATAAGCCCTAGAGAAATGTGAACGAGGGGAAATCCCAAATTAATAGAAATATTCTACCCCACTCTAACAGAAAGAGAGCTCAAAATAGACAGTAAACTGAGTAACACAAAAATTTTTAAGTTATATTCTTCACACTCAACTCTGTAAACAGAGATTCATCTCCATTCCATCTATTTTTATGATATGAGAAATGATTAGGAAGAATGGGAGTTAATAGTTATCTATGGCAAGGTAATTTCTCACCCCATGCTGGCTGAATACAACTTAGATACAAAGAAGTAAAATTACATTTGAATATTAATCAATTAATCTCAGAAGGTAACAGAGTACAGAGAGTGAAATCATATCCATGATGAAGAAGTGGAGCCCTAACCACTCAAGGACATTAACATTAGGCCAAACAAAGCAATGAAAGGTTTCAATAAGAAACCGTCACAGAAGGGCCTGTAGTTTGTTTAATCTTGCCTTTCTATGTTATGTGCTATATCCTATACCATGTCAAATGCTTAAGGGCTAATGCAAACATTTTCTAAACCTAAACTTCCACATGAGAGAAAGTTTACTTCCTGAGTGTAACTGGTTTAGTCCATTTAAAGGAATCTTAACTCAGGTCACAAGTGTCTACTTAAGGAATCAAAGTAATAAATTATTGAATAAGACCCCTGTGACATGTACAAATACACATGTTTCAGGTGCCAACATACTCACACAGAATAACTTTACAAGCTCGGTCTACAGAGAAAAAATGTCCCAGAGACGACATGGATCCCCTCTTCCAGTGCCTTGGCACTGTATATCTTCTCCAAAATCCTAGATATATTCTTAGATATAAGCCCTAGAGAAATGTGAACGAGGGGAAATCCCAAATTAATAGAAATATTTTACCCCACTCTAACAGAAAGAGAGCTCAAAATAGACAGTAAACTGAGTAACACAAAAATTTTTAAGTTATATTCTTCACACTCAACTCTGTAAACAGAGATTCATCTCCATTCCATCTATTTTTATGATATGAGAAATGATTAGGAAGAATGGGAGTTAATAGTTATCTATGGCAAGGTAATTTCTCACCCCATGCTGGCTGAATACAACTTAGATACAAAGAAGTAAAATTACATTTGAATATTAATCAATTAATCTCAGAAGGTAACAGAGTACAGAGAGTGAAATCATATCCATGATGAAGAAGTGGAGCCCTAACCACTCAAGGACATTAACATTAGGCCAAACAAAGCAATGAAAGGTTTCAATAAGAAACCGTCACAGAAGGGCCTGTAGTTTGTTTAATCTTGCCTTTCTATGTTATGTGCTATATCCTATACCATGTCAAATGCTTAAGGGCTAATGCAAACATTTTCTAAACCTAAACTTCCACATGAGAGAAAGTTTACTTCCTGAGTGTAACTGGTTTAGTCCATTTAAAGGAATCTTAACTCAGGTCACAAGTGTCTACTTAAGGAATCAAAGTAATAAATTATTGAATAAGACCCCTGTGACATGTACAAATACACATGTTTCAGGTGCCAACATACTCACACAGAATAACTTTACAAGCTCGGTCTACAGAGCCAAGGCAGAGAGAATAGGGACTCAACTGTCAAATAGATTTTCAACCAACCAAATTCATGCAGATGATTCCAAATAGTCAAGCCAAAGAAAATAGCCATCCTTGTCTAGTTGGAAAGGATTGGTTAGAGTCAGTAAAACTGCTAAGTACTACTTGGTTGCCAGAAAAAAAACAGAAAAAGTGAATTTGTTAAGCTTTAAAATTAGGGATTCAATTTTGGTAAAAGTCTCCAATCACCAAATTAGTCTTTTTTAAAAAAATAAGGTAGTTGAGGCATTTTGACACCAGCCCTTTTCCAAAGGACGCAGGAACATGTTATAGATAACTCAAGTTCTTAAGGATACAAGATCCTGATAATGCACTTGACTGCAAAGCAAATGGCTTTGTTGAGACCCTAGCTTATATGGGCCCATCTCTAGATATAATCATGAGATATTCTCCTCCTCAGTAGGCCATGACCCCTCCAGTGTAATGGGCCATCTCCTAACTGATTGTGCCAAGGTTTCCTGCTTCAAATGGCCCACTCAAGTATTCATAATATGTGCGGTATCCATGTTCTGGAGCTGGGTTAGGTGGATCCTCAAATACTTAAAATAATAGTTCTCAAACTTTCTTACTGAAATAATTTTAAGGGCCAAGGAAAGTATGACCTCTATAGGCATACCCAAGAGTTCTCAGTCATGTGATTGAAATCTCTTTGAAACCTTTTATTTTGTTTTGAAAATTCATGTGGAGATCTCATTCTAGTCCATAATACTTTTGTCTTACTATAAATATAACATGGAGTAAAATTTACGCCTCAGAAAGATGTGCTCTATTGATCCTGTGATTTCAAATACT